CTTCAGCGGGGGAGGGGCCAGGCTGAAGAAGGGCAGGCTCCATTCATGCAAACAGAGGTTGGCTGCCTTCCAGGTTTGATTGTGTCCTTATCTCCATGCTTGTGGCCAGGGAGGGGTGTGAAGTTCTCTGGTAACCAGACTGTTCTGATGGCTGTCTCCCCCACCTTTCCCCGGTGCCGGCCCAAACTCCTGGCCGAAGCCCCTGCACCACAGCAATTTTTCCAGCCCCCAAAAGGGGTTCCACCCGGACCCAAGGCACCCCCCCCGGCCAGGTGCTGAGCATCACAGGGGAGGAAGGGTTCAGTGAGGTTGCAGCCAGGAGATGGGTCTGGTGACGGGTGGGCAGGGGACAGGGGGGCATAGCTAGTCTTTCCCGTAGGGAGACACCAGGGGATCTGTGCCAAAGGTTGACAACCGTGTGTGGTTCTTGCCTTTGCCCTTTCACAGAGCTCTTGGGTGCCAGGCCTGCAATCTGGGGGAGCCTCTGGTCCCCATTTGCTTGAAATGGACCTGAGAACGCAGTGGAATATGTGTGTGGGTGGGGGAGGGTGGGGGGGCATTCACCACAGCCCCTGGGGTGCGCGGAGGAGGTCTTCCTCAGGTATTGGCTCCCCCCTCACTCCCCAGCCCCCCATCCCGCCACAGCGCGCTCGCACACCCCCCTGCAGGAACAGGGTCTCTTTGTGGGCCTGATTCACCCAGCTCCTCTGGAAGCCTCCTCAGTACACAAACCTTCCTTTATGGGGCGGTAGGTTTACTGGAGACAGAAAAACAGAAGAGGAGGGGCCGAAGGCCCAACAGGAAGAGGTGGCTGCTGCCCACAGTGGGGGGTGTGGGAGCCCTGGACCGGCTTCCGAGGGGCCCTTGGAGGGGCCCGGCAGCCTGGCTCCGTTTATAAGTGGAAATGTTAGGAGGGCAGGGGCTGAGACGAGGGACAGGGGCTGCTGGGCAGGGTGGGGATGTGGCGGGAGGAGAGGCAAGAGCTCCTCACCTTGGAGATAGCCAGAGGGACAGAGGCAACTTTAGGGCCGAGGGGACGGTGCCCAGCCGGGGCCCTGGATCCCTGGGCCTCCGGGCAGAGAAGGAGGAGCCAGGGCCGGGCGCTGCAGCCAGGAGCTCACCTTGTCCAGGTTGGTGCTGTCCAGCCAGAGGCTCTCCAGGTACCTGCCGAACGACTGGAAGGCGCCCTCGGGGATGCTCCTCAGGGGGTTGTGGGACAGCTTCAGCTCCTCCACCACGCGCAGCTTGCTCAGGGCCGCCGCGGGGTAGCTGGACAGCTGGTTCCGGTCCAGGTGGAACTTGGCCAGGTTCTCCACGTCGTCCAGGGCGCCGGGCTGCAGGGAGCTGAGCGCGTTCTCCGACAGGTAGAGCCAGCGCAAGTCCTTGGCGCCCTGGAAGGCGCCGGCGCGCAGCTCGCGGATCTTGTTGTTGTTGAGCTGCAGGATGAAGAGGTTGACCAGCGGGGACAGCAGCCCTCGGGGCAGCTCGGTCACCTTGTTGTGGTCCAGGTAGAGGTAGGTGAGCTCGCTCAGGTCGTCGAAGGCGCCGGCGCGCAGCACGCGGATGTCGTTGTGGGACAGGTACAGGTAGATGAGCTGCTTGAGGCCCCGGAAGGCGCCGGCCGCCACCTCGCGGATCTGGCAGTGCTGCAGGTGCAGTGACACCAGGTTGGGCATGGCCCGGAAGGCGTTGGCGGCCAGCACGGGGAAGTTGTTGCGCTGGAGGTTGAGCAGCTTGGTCTTCTCGGACACCTTGGGGATCTTCTGCAGGCCCACCTTGTCGCAGATGACGTGCTGCAGGTCGCCGTGGCAGTGGCAGTTCTGGGGGCAGGCGGCCAGCGCCGGCAGCAGGCCGGCCAGGAGGCCGAGGCTGAGCAGGAGG